AGCCATGTGCTCTGGTCGGTGTCTCCCAGGAGCAACATAGCGTGCAAGAATGCTAAGAGGGTATGCAAGGTCAGGTCGTGTGCAGGTCATCAGGTACATGAGGCAGCCAACAAGCTCTGTCCCGAGTGATCTGCAAGCCAAGGTAGCTGCGCAGTTCACCCAGGTCTGTGCACGTGTGTCTCTTCAGCAGCTCGGACTTCACGTAGGCGAGTCCAGCAGTGTCCGCTGTGGCAAAGACCAAGTCGTCAACGTACACGAGGATGTAGAACGGCGGCAGTGAAGTGTCGGTGCGCAGAAACAGCGACGGGTCAGCAGTAAAAGGAGCAAACCCAAGAGCCGCAAGCGTAGTCCTCAGTGTGTCGTGCCACTCAAGCGGTGCCTGGCGGAGACCGTAGACTGGCCGTCGAAGGCTCCACTGGGTGCCAGGAGGGAAAGTCCCAGTGAAGCCAGGTGGACGGCGCAGCCAGATCTCCTCGTGCAAGCTACCCTGCAAGAACGCAGTGCTGAAGTCGAGAGTGTGAAGCTCGTAGTGGCGCTGAGCGGCTATGTGTAGCAGCACCTGAAGACTGGTCATCTTCGGGGTGGGAGAGAAGGTCTGAAAGTAGTCAACTCCCTGCCGCTGACTGAAGCCACGAGCGACGTACCGCGCCTTGAAGACAGGTGGAGAGCCTGGCGGCCGCTTCACCCTGAAGATCCACATGCCACTGACGATGTTCGCCCCAGGAGGGGGAACCGCGTCAACGTAGGTGCCTGTGGACTTCCAGGAAGCCATCTCCGCATCCATAGCTGCCTGCCACTGAGAGGAGTAGGGACCCTCTACGGCCTCCGCGTAGGAGCACGGAGTCGGGATGTCTAGTGCATCCGGGTCTCCCTCAGGAGCAAGCAGTACAGATGCGAGATGAGGTGAAGCAGCAGCCCGACACTGTAACTCCTCCTGCCTGTCCTCTAGGACGTCCGTGCCAAGAGCACACTCACCCTCGACGGACGGAGGACAGACAGACGCAGACTCAGCAACAAGGCTAGCAGCGTAGTCTAGACGACAGCGAGCAGCAAAGTCGACGAGCTCAGCGACAAGAGCAGACGCAGCAGTGGACTCAAACGAGGGGTCAGTGACGACAATAGCAAGGAGACGCGTGACAGTAGGACTGGCAGCATGAAGGGAGTCCAACTCAGGGTCGGCAAGCGCATGAAGAGAGGACTCAGGAGGAGAAGGCAAAGGGGCACGCAGAGGAGCAGTGGACGGACGCAGAGACATCCGGTGCGTGCCAGGGACAGGAGGAGGACGCAGACGTTAACCGCGACCACTAGCGCGAGCAGCACGAACAGGCGACGCGGGACGAGACGCAGGCTCACGACGCTCAGCAAGACCTCCAGTAGGACCACTGTAAGGAGAGGGAGCAGGCAGTGGGGAGGAAGGCTCCAACAGTGACTGCGACTGGACAGGCTGTGGACACTCTACCGAAGGAGAAAGACCAAGAACCTGCTGCAGGAGCGGAACGAAGTACGGCCGAGGCCGCGCTGCAGCTCCAGACTCAGCAGGGACAGCACCAGCACCCTCAGCGGCAGGACCACCTCTAGGACAGACAGCTGGAGTCTCCGCACCAACACCTCCAGCAGCTCCAGCTCCAGTAGGACCCGCAGGCCCAGCAGCTCCGGGACCGGCGGCCCCAGCACCCTCGACGGTCGAAGAAGCTCCAGCTCCGGCAGTACGCCTCCAGCGGCGAGCAAACCACTCGCGCAGCTCCTGTGGAGAGAGGGGCTACCGCCGAGACGCAGCACCAGGAGAAACCTCAGGCTCAGCAGCCCCAGACGCAGCACCCCCAGGCTCAGCAGCTCCAGACGTAGCACCCCCAGGCTCAGCAGCTCCAGACCCAGCACACCCAGGCTCAGCAGCTCCAGACTCAGCACCCCCAGACTCAGCACCCCCTAGCTCAGCAGCTCCAGGCACGGCACCCCCCGGCTCAGCACCCCCAGGCCCAGCATCCTCCGCAGTAGCACCCCCAGGCTCGGCACCCCCGCGCACAGCACCCCCACAGTCAGCACCCCCAGGCTCAGCACCCGCAGCAGCACCAGAGTCACTAGTAACCTCGACCGGGTCAACTGCGTCTACCTGGGACACATCTGAGGGGGCAGGAACCTGAGGGGGGAGGGGGTCTACCGAGGGGGGAACCGGCACAAGGAAGTCCGGTGGCAGGGGAAGGGAAGGAGTGCGGTAGGGGAAGAGGCGGTAGAAGGGGACTGACTCGTCGAACGTGACGTCCTGGGAGGACAGAACACGACGAGAGGAGGGGTGGTAGAACTGCCACCCTGGAGCGTCAGGGGGGAAGCCAAGGAAGACACAGGGAGCAGCACGAGGGGACAGCTTGTCCGCAGACAAGTTGCGGACAAACGCCCGAGATCCCCACACATGGAACGCAGACGCATCGCCAACCTTCCCCGTCCACAGCAAGACTGGGGACATCGCAGGCCAAGAGACCCTGGGGTGAAGGTTGAGCTGATGCGCCGCGTACCGAACCGCAAACGGCCACAGAAAATGGGGGGCAGCCGCATGCATCATGGACGTACGAGCGACATCCATGACCATGCCAATGCGGCGCTCAGCAATCCCATTTTGCTGTGGAGAGTCCGAAAGCGTGAAGGTCTGGCGGATCCCCCGTGCACGACAGTAGTCTCGCAGAAGGCGAGAGGAGAACTCCCCGCCTCTGTTTGAGTGCAGACGCAGAACAGGAAAGTCCGAGCCGAAGCTCCTCCTGAGCTGGAGATGAGCCTCGCGGATCCAGTCGATCAGCACCTCAGTGACAGCACCCTTGCTGCGCAAGGGGAGGACTGAGGTGTAACGCGAGTAGTCGTCAACCACCAGCAGGAAGTAGCGCTCGTGACCCTGCCCACGGACGGGGGCTGGGCCCCACACGTCCATGTGAAGTGTCTGCAGAGGAGCCTCTGTCGCGGGGAACTGGGAGGAGTGAGGAGCAGCCCGGAGGCGCCCCTCGACACAGGGGACACAGGAAGGTCCTGGCCCCGAAGGAAGGGGAGGGAGGGACCGGGGAAGACCAGAGACAAGGACACGGGAAGCCATGCTCCGAAGACGGGGCAAGGAGGGGTGGCCCAGACGGTGGTGCCACAGGAGGGTCTCGTGAGACAGGAGGCGACATGAGCAGGGGGCAGACTCAGGGCCAGACCGGGACGCAGCAGCAAACACCTGACCTGACGCAGCTACCTGACCAGACGCAGGGACAGGAGGAGACGTAGTGGTCAGGGTGTAGAGGCTCGACCCCGGCCGACGCGAGAACGTGGCCAGGTGCCGGCCTGTGCACGCGTCCGTGCAGTGGGTCACCCGTTGACTCGCAGGAGTGAACTGGTGAACCCCCGCATCCTGTAGGTCCGCACCACTCACCAAGTTCGTCGAGAACGAGGGAAGGTACAGACCAGACAGGGTGCCCGAGGGGGCAGCCGGACACGGGAGGATAGTGGAAAAGTGAGAGAGGACAGGACCCCCAGAGGGGTCAGCCAGGGAGACTGCAACCGGCCGACTAAGCGGCGTGAGGGTGGTGCGGTCTCGAAAGAAGGAGCGAGAAGCCCCGTAGTCAAGTGTGAAAGTGAGGGAGGACGAAGGCGACGCAGTACCTGAGAGCGCAGTCTCACCAGTACTTGAGAGCGCAGACGCACTGGCACCTAGAGCAGCAGCCTCACAAGCACCTAGCGCAGCAGTACCAATGCCCGGGTCGGGCGGGAAACACCGGTAACAGTCACCCTCCTCACTAATAGTCACAGCATACATAGCAGCAAGGATAGCATCAAAGTCAAGCTCAAAGATCGCTACACCAGCCCTAAGAAGCTCATCCCAGCGGGGGATCTCACTAGCCTCGGGGAACTGCTGACACCAAGCGTCCGTCAGGCGGCCAAAGCAGCGCTGGGTGGGGTGGGCACCTCCACACTGCTCACCCGCGCGGTCGCCGGAACGAAGGACGTAGGCACACGGACCAGCACCCCCACCCCTCTGACGCCGAGCGTACCACTCACGGAGCTGCTGGGGCGGAGGGATGTCCCGCGAACGCTGCTGCTGCTGCTGCAGCGGGCGCTGACCACCACCTCTGCCGCTCCGCTGCTGGGTACCACCCCGACCAGTTCCACCCCCTCCGCCACCACCGCCTGCTCCTCCGCCCCCTCCACCGCCTCCACCGCCACCGCTGCCGCCACCACCACCGCTGCCGCCACCTCCGCCGCCTCCGCCGCCGCTGCCACCACTACCACCACCACCCCCTCCACCACTCCCGCCGCCACCCCCACTCCCTCCGCCGCCTCCACCGCCACCTCCACCGCCCCCTCCAGCTCCACCCGCGCCCTTGCCCCCCTTGCCCTTGCCAGAGCGGCGTCGCCCACTAGGGGCAGACGCCGCGCCGACCGACTCAAGACCAAGTAGGTCGGCAGCAGCAGCAGAGGCAACAGAGGGCAGTAGGGGGGAAGGAGAGCACCCCTCAAAGATGGGGGTGCGAGGGTCACCCCGAGAAGCTCCTACAGTGACGATGGTCTTCTCCGCCGCGAGGAGGGCCTTCTCGAGGAGGTTGACAGTGAGGGTGGTGGGATAGACTGCGAGAAAGTGGTCCCTGACTACGCGAAGAGAGTCAGGGAGGGGCGCGACTACGTAGTAGAGAGTGATGTGTGAAATGAGTAAGCAGGAATGAAATGACTAAGGAAAGATTGGGTACAAATACAACCCTAGAAACCCTGTACCCCATATGTACTACCCCACTATAGCCTACAAACATGCATCAGTTATAATAATCCGACACACCCCCATAGGCAAAGTGGGGGAGAACAAGGGGTCACAAGACCAGTCAAGCAAAGCAAAGCAAAGCAAGCTCAGGGTGGATCACAACGTCACCACACAGTCCGAGCACAAGAGCAGGGCCAGAGGCCAGTTTACATGCAGGAGTACAGGCATATATAGAAAACTAGACATGCAAGAGCAGGTATATATATATGTCACAGTACAAGTGAAGTCAAGAGGAGAGCAAGTGAGGCAAGACAGGCACAAGACCCAGCTGGGTGCAAAAGCGCTGATGGTCACAAGGCGCGAGTGCCTTGGTGAACACATCAGCAGTGTTGGCCTCAGAGGCCACGTACGCAAGTCGCAACTGACCACGCTGCTGCAGCTGACGAGCAAGGAAGTAGCGGAGAGCAATGTGCTTCGTTCTGTGCTCCAAGCGCTGCTCTCGACACAAGGCCAGCATGGCCTTGTTGTCTACGTACAGCACTGGAGGAGAACGAGGCGGCTCTCCAAGGTCAGTCAGCAGGTAGGTGAGCCAGCGAAGCTCCTGTGCAGCCATGGCCCCGGCGTAGATCTCAGCCTCACAACTGGAGCCGAGAACCGAAGACGAGCGAGTAGACCGCCACGAGACAGAGCCGGAACCAAGGCTGAAGGTGTAACCCTGTGACGACCGCTGCGTAGCCTGGTCGTCAGCCCAAGAAGCGTCCGCGTGGCCGGTAAGGACCACTAGACTCCGCCCTCCAAGCACTAGCCCCATGCCCGACGTGCTGCACAGGTAGCGCAATACCCTCTTCGCTGCAGCCATGTGCTCCGGTCTGTGTCTCCCAGGAGCAACATAGCGAGCAAGAATGCTCAAAGGGTATGCAAGGTCAGGTCGTGTGCAGGTCATCAGGTACATGAGGCAGCCAACAAGCTCTGCATACGGACCACTCGACTCTACGGACTCATCCGAAGGCAGAGCTGAGAGTGAGTGGCGAGTAGGCAGAGGAGTGGCCTGAGGCGAGGAGTACGTGAAGCCGAAGCGCTGAAGGACCTGCTGCACCATGTGTGACTGAGTCAAGGTAATGGTGCGGCGTGCTCTGTCCCGAGTGATCTGCAAGCCAAGGTAGCTGTGCAGTTCACCCAGGTCTGTGCACGTGTGTCTCTTCAGCAGCTCGGACTTCACGTAGGCGAGTCCAGCAGTGTCCGCTGTGGCAAAGACCAAGTCGTCGACGTAAACGAGGATGTAGAACGGCAGCAGGGAAGTGTCGGTGCGAAGAAACAGCGACGGGTCAGCAGTAGAAGGAGCAAACCCAAGAGCCGCAAGCGTAGTCCTCAGTGTGTCGTGCCACTCACGCGGTGCCTGGCGGAGACCGTAGACTGGCCGTCGGAGGCTCCACTGGGTGCCAGGAGGGAAAGTCCCAGTGAAGCCAGGTGGACGACGCAGCCAGATCTCCTCGTGCAGGCTACCCTGCAAGAACGCAGTGCTGAAGTCGAGAGAGTGAAGCTCGTAGTCGCGCTGAGCGGCTATGTGCAGCAGCACCCAAAGAGTAGTCATCTTCGGGGTGGCAGAGAAGGTCTGAAAGTAGTCAACTCCGTGCCGCTGACTGAAGCCACGAGCAACGTACCGTGCCTTGAAGACAGGTGGAGAGGCCGGCGGCCGCTTCACCCTGAAGATCCACATGCCACTGACGATGTTCGCCCCAGGAGGGGGAACCGCGTCAACGTAGGTGCCTGTGGACTTCCAAGAAGCCATCTCTGCATCCATAGCTGCCTGCCACTGAGAGGAGTAGGGACCCTCTACGGCCTCCGCGTAAGAACGCGGAGTCGGGATGTCTAGTGCATCCGGGTCTCCCTCAGGGGCAAGCAGTACAGACGCGAGATGAGGTGAAGCAGCCGCTAGACACTGTAACTCCTCCTGCCTGTCCTCTAGGACGTCCGTGCCAAGAGCACACTCACCCCCGACGGACGGAGGACAGACAGACGCAGACTCAGCAACAAGACCAGCAGCCTAGTCGAGACGACAGCGAGCAGCAAAGTCGACGAGCTCAGCGACTAGAGCAGACGCAGCAGTGGACTCAAAAGAGGGGTCAGTGACGACAGTAGCAAGCAGACGCGTGACAGTAGGACTGGCAGCACGAAGAGAGTCCGACTCAGGGTCGGCAAGCGCAGGAAGAGAGGACTCAGGAGGAGAAGGCAAAGGGGCACGCAGAGGAGCAGTGGACGGACGCAAAGACATCCGGTGCGTGCCAGGGACAGGAGGAGGACGCTAACGCGAACTGCGACCACTAGCGCGAGCAGTGCGAACAGGCGACGCGGGACGAGACGCAGGCTCACGACGCTCAGCAATACCTCCAGTAGGACCAGTGTAAGGAGAGGGAGCAGGCAGTGGAGAGGAAGGCTCCAGCAAGGACTACGACTGGACAGGCGGTGGACCCTCTACTGGAGGAGAAAGACCAAGAACCTGCTGCAGGAGCGGAACGAAGTACGACCGAGGCCGCGCGGCAGCTCCAGACGCAGCAGGGACAGCACCAGCACCCTCAGCGACAGCACCAGCGCCACCCACACCTCCAGCGGCAGGACCAACAGCAGTAGGCTCAGCACCAGCGCCCTCAGCAGCTCCAGCTCCAGGAGGACCCGCAGGTCCAGCAGCTCCGGGACCGGCAGCACCCGCACCCACGACGGTCGAAGAAGCTCCAGCTCCAGCTCCAGCAGCACCTCCAGACTCAGCAGCACGCCTCCAGCGGCGAGCGAACCACTCGCGCAGCTCCTGTGGAGAGAGGGGCTCCCGGCGAGACGCAGCAACAGGAGAAACCCCAAACTCAGCAGCTCCAGACGCAGCACCCCCAGGCTCAGCAGCTCCCAGCTCAGCACCCCCAGGCTCAGCAGCTCCCGACCCAGCACCCCCAGGCACAGCACCCCCCGGCTCAGCACCCCCAGGCTCCGCACCCTCCGCAGTAGCACCCTCAGGCCCAGCACCTCTAGCAGTAGCACCCCCAGGCTCAGCACCCCCGCGCACAGCACCCCCAGAGTCAGCACCCCCAGGCTCAGCACCCGCAGCAGCACCAGAGTCACCAGTAACCTCGACCGGGTCAACGGCGTCTACCTGGGACACACCTGAGGGGGCAGGAACCTGAGGGGGGAGGGGGTCTACCGGGGGGGGAACCGGCACAAGGAAGTCCGGGGGAGGTGGGAGGGAAGGAGTGCGGTAGGGGAAGAGACGGTAGAAGGGGACTGACTCGTCGAACGTGACGTCCTGGGAGGACAGAACACGACGAGAGGAGGGGTGGTAAAACTGCCACCCTGGGGCGTCAGTGGGGAAGCCAAGGAAGACACAGGGAGCAGCACGAGGGGACAGCTTGTCCGCAGACAAGTCGCGGACAAACGCCCGAGATCCCCAGACACGGAACACAGACGCATCGCCAACCTTCCCCGTCCACAGCAAGGCTGGGGACATCGCAGGCCGAGAGACCCGGGGGTGAAGGTTGAGCTGATGCGCCGCGTACCTCACCGCAAACGGCCACAGAAAATGGGGGGCAGCCGCATGCATCATGGACGTACGAGCGACATCCATGACCATGCCAATGCGGCGCTCAGCAATCCCATTTTGCTGTGGTGAGTCCGAAAGCGTGAAGGTCTGGCGGATCCCCCGTGCACGACAGTAGTCTCACAGAAGGCGAGAAGAGAACCCCCCGCCTCTGTCAGAGTGCAGACGCAGAACAGGAAAGTCCGAGCCGAAGCTCTTCCTGAGCTGGAGACGAGCCTCGCGGATCCAGTCGATCAGCACCTCAGTGACCGCACCCTTGCTGCGTAAGGGGAGGACTGTGGTGTAACGCGAGTAGTCGTCAACCACGAACAGGAAGTAGCGCTCGTAACCCTGCCCACGGACGGGGGCTGGGCCCCACACATCCATGTGAAGCGTCTGCAGGGGAGCCTCTGTCGGGGGGAAGTGGGAGGAGCGAGGAGTAGCCCGGAGGCGACCCTCAACACAGGGGACACAGGAAGGTCCTGGCCCGGAGGGGAGAGGAGGGAGAGACTGGGGAAGACCAGAGACAAGGACACGGGAAGCCATGCTCCGAAGACGGGGCAAGGAGGGGTGGCCAAGACGGTGGTGCCACAGGAGAGTCTCGTGAGACAGGAGGCGACAAGAACAGGGGGCAGACTCAGGACCTGACCGGGACGCAGCAGCAAGCACCTGACCCGACGCAGCCACCTGACCAGACGCAGGGACAGGAGGAGACTCAACGGTCAGGGTGTAGAGACTCGACCCCGGCCGATGCGAGAACGTGGCCAGGTGTCGGCCTGTGCGTGCCTCCGTGCAGTGGGTCACCCGCTGACTCGCAGGAGTAAACTGGTGAACACCCCCATCCTGCAGGTCCGCTCCACTCACCAAGTTTGTAGAGAACGAGGGAAGGTACAGACCCGACAGGGTGCCCGAAGGGGCAGCCGGACACGGGAGGACAGTGGAGAAGTGAGACAGGACAGGACCTCCAGAGGGGTCAGCAAGGGAGACTGCAACCGGTCGGCCGAGCGGCGTAAGGGTAGTGCGGTCTCGAAAGAAGGAGCGAGAAGCTCCGGAGTCAAGTGTGAAAGTGAGGGAGGACGAGGACGACGCAGTACCTGAGAGCGCAGTCTCACCAGTACCTGAGAGCGCAGACGCACTGGCACCTAGAGCAAGAGCCTCACAAGTACCTAGCGCAGCAGTACCAATGCCCGGGTCGGGCTGGAAACAACGGTAACCCTCATTCTCCTCACTATAATCCACAACATACATAGCAGTAAGGATAGCATCAAAATCAAGATCAAAGATCGCTACACCAGCCCTGAGAAGCTCATCCCAGCGAGGGATCTCACTAGCCCCAGGGAACTGCTGACGCCAGGCGTCCGTCAGGCGGCCAAAGCAGCGCTGGGTGGCGTGGGCACCCCCACACTGCTCACCCGCGCGGTCGCTGGAACGAAGAACGTAGGTGCAGGGACCAGTACCCCCACCGCTCTGACGCCCAGCGTACCACTCACGAAGCTGCTGAGGCGAAGGGATGTCCCGCGAGCGCTGCTGCTGCTGCCGGTGCGAGCGCTGGCCACCACCACCGCCGCTACGCTGCTGGGTACCACCCCGACCAGCTCCACCTCCTCCACCACCACTGCCTCCTCCGCTGCCGCCTCCACCGCCTCCACCTCCGCCGCCTCCACCTCCGCCGCTGCCTCCACCACCACCGCTGGCACCACCACCACCGTCTCCGCCGCTGCTGCCACCACCACCACCACCACCCCCGCCACTAGCCCCGCCGCCACCCCCACTTCCTCCGCCGCCACCGCCGCCACCGCCACCGCCCCCTCCAGCTCCACCCGCGCCCTTGCCCCCCTTGCCCTTGCTGGAGCGACGTCTCCCACTAGGGGCAGACGCCGCGCCGACCGACTCAAGACCAAGCAGGTCGGCAGCAGCAGCAGAGGCAACAGAGGGAAGCAAGGGGGAAGGAGAGCACCCCTCAAAGATGGGGGTGCGAGGGTCACCACGAGAAGCACCTACAGCGACTATGCTCTTCTCCGCTGCAAGGAGGGCCTTCTCGAGGAGGTCGACGGTGAGGGTGGTGGGACAGACTGCGAGAAAGTGGTCCCTGACGACGCGAAGGGAGTCAGGGAGGTGCGCGACTACGTAGTAGAGAGCGATGTACATGGGGGGGGGGTTGTTAGCGCAGAACTCAGCAGGAAGGGCGGCGCGGTAGCGAGTGTCGCTAGTGCGGAGGTGCGTAATGAGGTCAGCGACAGTGGGAAAGGCAGAGAGGTCAGGAAAGAGGTAGGGAAGCATGAGACGGCTCAGTGCAGCAGTGGCAGGGGAGGAGTAGCGCGCAACTACAGCGCCGTACAAGGTCTGAGCACTCTTGTACTGACTAAAGTGCGCACGCTCAGAGGTAGGGAGGTGGCGACGCACAGCAAGACGTGCAGCAGCATCGCGGGTGGCCCACTTAGAGCGGACAGCGGGATCAGCATCAGCAGCAGGAGCAGGAGAGGCGCCAGAGGTGAGGTCAAAGAGAGAAAGGTCGTCAGTCCTATCGCACTGTAAGAACAGCTGCAGGTCGTCCAACCAGACCTCAAAATCAATGGCGCGACCCTCAGCGTCAAAAGCTAGGACACTAGGGGTAGCCATGGCGACGACAGCGACGCAGTGCAAGCAGTAGGGAAAGAGCTCGCAGTGGCAGTGGGACTGTGCTCACCAGGCAGGGCAGGTCGAGTAGGTATGCAGAAAGGCGGCTCAGCGACCTGGCGGCTCGGGTGCTGGGCGGCTCGGGCGCAGGGCGGCTCGGCTCCCGGGCGGCTCGGCGGCAGGGCAGCTCGGGGGCAGGGCGGCTCGGCTCCCGGGCGGCTCGGCGACAGGGCGGCTCAGGTGCAGGGCGGCTCGGCTCCCGGGCGGCTCGGCGGCAGGGCAGCTCGGGGGCAGGGCGGCTCGGCTCCCGGGCGGCTCGGCGACAGGGCGGCTCAGGTGCAGGGCGGCTCGGCTCCCGGGCGGCTCGGCTGCAGGGCGGCTCGGCTCCCGGTAGTAGGTGGGCGGCGGGGCCGCGCGAGAAGACGGCCGGGGCCGCTTCGGTAGTAGGCGGCGGGGCCGCGGTCGAACAGGCGGCTGGCGCCGCGGTCGTAGCAGGCGGGGGGGGCCGTGCAAGCAGGCGGCGGGGGCCGCGGTAGAAGCGGGCGGCGAGGCCGTGCGAGCAGGCAGCCGGGGCCGCGACAGGAGCGGGCGGCGGGGCCGCGGTCGAACAGGCGGCTGGGGCCGCGGTCGTAGCAGGCGGCCGGGGCCGCGATCGTAGTGGGCGGCGGCCGCGGCGAAGCGGGCGGCAGGGCCGCGTCGAGCAGGCGGCTGGGGGGCCGCGTCGAGCAGGCGGCTGGGGGCCGCGACAGGAGCGGGCGGCGGGGCCGCGGTCGAACAGGCGGCTGGGGCCGCGACAGGAGCGGGCGGCGGGGCCGCGGTCGAACAGGCGGCTGGGGCCGCGGTCGTAGCAGGCGGCCGGGGCCGCGTCGAGCAGGCGGCTGGGGGGCGCGTCGAGCAGGCGGCTGGGGGGCCGCGTCGAGCAGGCGGCTGGGGCCGCAATCGTAGCGGGCGGCTGAGGCCGCGACTTAGCGGGCGGCTGGGCCGCGTGTGGGAGGGAGGCGACACGGAGGGTCGCTCGATAGCGGAAAAAAAAAGTCGAGCGCGCCTCGGGGCGCGCTTCGGTGGGCCCTAGGCAGAGTTCCACAGGGAACCTGCTCTATACCATGTGAAATGAGTAAGCAGGAATGAAATGACTAAGGAAAGATTGGGTACAAATACAACCCTAGAAACCCTGTACCCCATATGTACTACCCCACTATAGCCTACAAACATGCATCAGTTATAATAATCCGACATGATGTACATGGGGGGGGGGTTCTTAGCAGAACTCAGCAGGAAGGGCGGCGCGGTAGCGAGTGTCACTAGTGCGGAGGTGCGTAGTGAGGTCAGCGACAGTGGGAAAGGTAGAGAGGTCAGGAAAGAGGTAGGGAAGAATGAGACGGCTCAGTGCAGCTGTGGCAGGGGAAGAGTAGCGCGCAAATACAGCGTCGTACAAGGTCTGAGCACTCTTGTACTGACTAAAGTGCGCGCGCTCAGAGGTAGGGAGGTGGCGACGCACAGCAAGACGTGCAGCAGCATCGCGGGTAGCCCACTGAGAGCGCACAGTGGGATCAGCATCAGCAGCAGGGGTAGGAGAGGCGCCAGAAGTGAGGTCAAAGAGAGAAAGGCCGTCTGCTCTATCGCACTGCAAGAACAGCTGCAAGTCGTCGACCCAGACCTGAAAGTCAATGGCGCGACCCTCAGCGTCAAAAGCGAGGACACTAGGGGTAGCCATGACAGCAGTAGACGGTCTCACCAGACAGGACGGGTCGGGCAGCGCAGTAGCACAGCAGCACAGCAACACAGCAGCTCAACCGGCTCAGCAGCAACAGCAGCCTCGCAGGACCAGCGGCTCGGCTCCTTAGGCGGTGCAGGCGGCTCGGGCGGCTCGGGCGGCTCGGGCGGCACGGGCGGCTCGGGCGGCTCAGGCGGCTCGGGCGGCGCGGGCGGCTCGGGCGGCTCGGGCAGTCAGCGGCACAGGCGGCTCGGGCGGCTCGGCTCCTCAGCGGCGGAGACGGCTCGGGCGGCTCAGGTCGCACGGCGGCTAGCGGGCGGCGTGGGGGCCGGGACAGCGTCGTCCAGCAGGGACGGGAGAGCGCGGCCGGGACGGGCGGCACAGGGCGGCTCGGGACCGGGTCGGGCGGCGCGCGGGCGGTGAGGGGCCGGGACGGGCGCGCGTGGGTGGCGAGGGGCCGGGACGGGCGCTCGAGGGCGGCAAAGGGCCGGGACGGGCTCGCGTGGGTGGCTAGGGGTCGGGACGGCGTGGGTGGCTAGGGGCCGGGACGGGCTCGCGTGGGCGGCTAGGGGCCGGGACGGGCGCGCGTGGGTGGCTAGAGGCCGGGACGGGCGGCGCGGAGGTGGCGAGGGGCCGTGACGAGCGGCGCGCGGGCGGCTAGGGGCCTGAACGGGCGGCGCGTGCGCGTCTAGGAGCCCTGACGGGCGGCGTGCGGGCGGCTAGGGGCCTGAACGGGCGGCGCGCTGGCGGCTAGGGGCCTGAACGGGCGGGCGCGCTGGCGGCTAGAGGCCTGCACGGGCGGCGCGCTGGCGGCTAGGGGCCTAAGCGGGCGGGCGCGCTGGCGGCTAGGGGCCTGAACGGGCTGCACGCGAGCGGCTAGGAGCTTTGACGGGCGGCGCGTGGGCGGCTAAGGGCCGGGACGGGCGGCGCGCGGGCGGCTAGGTGCCTGAACGGGCGGGCGCGGGCGGCTAGGTGCCGAGACGGGCGGTGCGCGGGCGGCAAAGGGAGCTCGCGCGGGCGTCTAGGGGGCCGCAGGGCAGGCCAAAAAGGAGAGAGCAAGGGCCCAGAGCGCGCTCCGGGCAGAAAAAAAGTTTTGAAGGTGGTGGGCCCTAAGCACAGTTCCCGCGGGGGAACCTGCTCGATACCATGTTGAGAATAGAACGAGAATGGATGAACTATGAATGAAATGAGTACAAATAGCAAACCCTAACTGGGTTGTACCCCCTATGGGATACCCCACTACAGCCTACACAATAGTATAAGCTATATATATGTTCTGACATCAAGCCCTGAGAATTTCGCTAAAAAAAGTTGGAATTTGGAGTGTTGGATCGAATTTCTTCTCAACGGCCGAGATCGGACGCGAATTTCAACTTCGGGAGAATTACGCAACCTACAAAATCAGCGCTCGTCATTTCTACAGTTGATTCGACTCACAGTAAGATGCCCAGCACCTAGAATTCATCTATTTTCGCCGCAAATCTTCTTGTAAATCGTCAAATGGAGGAAAAAGGTGATAATTTCGTACGAAAAATTACAGAGTTACACAACGGCTTGGACTAGACGCAAGCGGCACTCCAGCAAATAGAGGAGCTTCTTGCAAACCAGTCGACAGCCGCCACAGCAGGAGCGAACGCAGCAGCGAATGCAGCAGCAACGGCAGTAGCAGCAGCGGTAACACCGACACTTCACCCAGCAGCAACGGCAGCAGCTACCGTGAATCTTGAGGCGGCACGTCCGAGGCTACCGGAGACGTTCAATCTGAATGCGAGAGACACAAACGTCCGTCGATTCATTGCGACCCTCGAAATTTACTTCGAGGCCGTTGGCTGTACGACCCCGACACACGATGCAATGCGGATTCGGCTCGCAGCGACACTGTTACGAGGCCTGGCGCTCGAGTGGATTTACAATAGCAACAAGGTCCAAGGTGAGGAGACATAGACGCAGTTTCGGGAAGCTGTAATTCAACGTTTCAAACCAATCAACTCCACCTACATGGCGCGGCAGCAGATTCATCGGCATAAACAGTTCGGTAGTGTAATACAGTACACGCAGTAGATGGACAGCCTCTTCAACCGGATTACCGACCTGGCCGAAGGGGAAAAAGTCCAAGCGTATACGGAGGGGCTAAAGATGGAAGTCCGCCGACAGGTGATTGCCGCGAACTACAACAACTACCGCAACTTTGTCTGTGCAGCAGAGAGATTCGATGTGTTGACTCAAGGTCAACCCGAAACACGACGACGCATGCCGAACAGATCCTTCGGCATGGAGCAATCGGCACCACCCGCGACCACCGACCTGATGGATATTTACAAGATCGATGCAACAGGACATCGATTCTTGGCGTGTTGGAAAATGAAGAAGGCACGAGTGGAGCTGAATGGCAACAACAGTGCAGCACCCCCGAAGTCAAAAGACATGGCGACTTCGGAGAGGGCGAAAAAAGGAGGACACGATGGCGCAATTTAAATCGCCACGACCGGCCGACAGCAGGGGATTTCGCCAAGTCACATGGAGGCTCCACGAAACAAGACTCTGCACCGACCAGGAAACTCAGCTGAACACCCCCGAGAGTAAGAATATTCCCTCTCGAGGTTTTCAAGCCTTTAAAAACTTCAGGGGAGATTTCGAGGCCAAGAAAAAGCCTTCAGACATTATTCAGGTACCTGAGAAGTTGGGCAAACCACTCCGGAGCGTTGAAATGGGTCGTGCATTCCAAGGAGTTAATATTCTCTCCTTGCAGCACAGTATTAAGGCTCCCCATTGCCCACAGGTGAAGCCTACACAGCTGCAAAGGCTTAGGGGAAGGTTCCAGGCCAAGACAAAGCTGAATCGGCCTCGGATAAATCCTTCTCACCCAACTCGGTGGAAAACTGATAGGGAGTTAGCAATTTCGAGCGTAGGACCTAGGGGAGATATATTCGATGTACCCTACGATCCTATAAGTGAGACCATGTAGGTTACTCGGAGCGGCAACAACCACTAGTACTCGAGGTGATCTGCAGCGGGCAACGCCTCCAGGCACTGGTGGACAGCGGTGCGTCTCACTCGGTGTGGGACCGCGGGACGTTTGAGAAAATTGGAGAATCTTCGGAGGAGACCAAGTTCACGGCAACGATGGTGGATGGTACGAAACTTCCCATCCACGGCGAAGCATCACAGCAGCTGCAAATAAGGGCGCTGAGGTGGAAGCCGACGTTGCCAATTACGAACATCAAAGGTTTAGATTTCATCTTGGGGCGAGATTTCTTGAAGCGGTTCAACCCCGAGATCGATTGGGTCA